GTCATGATCCTGGAGTCCCTGGATCGAGTCCCGCATCGGGCTCCCTGCTCAGCAGGGAGTCTGCTTTGCCCTCCGACCCTATCCCCTCTCATGTGTTCTCTCTCATTCTCTGTCTCTCAAATAAATAAATAAAATCTTTAAAAAAAAAAAGTTTGTGAGGGTTAAACGAGATATTGCACTTAAGGGCAGACGTGCACTGGAGGCCTTCAAGGCATGGTAGTTCCTGTTATTTTTCTGTGGCTCATGGAGGACTCCTAATAAATATTTATTGAATGAAACAGCCTTGGAATGGATTATAGGAATCTTCAAGCCCATCTCCTACAGGAGAATGGTGCCCGTGGGGGCAGAGGCCACTGGAACAGAAGCCCCCGGATCCCCACAGCTCTGCACCTACCCTGGGGCCCGCAAGAGACCAGCTGTGGTCAGCTCCCATGAAGTCAGGAGGGCGGTAGGCATAAGAGTTCCGGAAGGTACCGTTTGGTTCATCTTTCTGAACGGATTTGAAATCATTTAATCTGAAGAAAATAATTGTCCCATTTATTGATTGAGGCAAAACAGAGGTTGGGACCTCAAAGGAGATGTGGAAACTACCTGCAGGAACTCCCGGTTTTAGAAATCAAACACAGATTTGGCTCGGGTTAATAAGAGGACATGAAAATTGACCAGGTCCCCCACCACCACCACCACCACTTTCCATCCAGTGGGGTCACTGGCATGAACATGGACATGGAATAACGGATTCCTCTTGCAGCCCGGGGGCCTATTCTCCAGGCTCTGTGTGCAAACAGGCCATCTGGACATTTCATAGGTCACCCTGCATAGCATTTCAAGCTACACAGATCATCCCAGACAGGGTAAGAATAAGCACACAGTTGCTATCTAGCAGTACAGCTTCTGATGGTACCTTCACTGTCGTCATCATCCTGAGCTCCATCCAGCTCCTCAGGTCCATTCATCACAGGTGATGCACAGGGAGGTGAGACCAACAGTTGCACCAACTTTTTTTCATACACTTTTCTGGTGGAAGCTGAAGAAGAATGTGGAGAACAGATTAAGTTATCCCGTTTGTGTAGGCGATCTCACTGCACGCTCGGTATTTCACCACGGGGATCCTTATTCGTGTACCTTACACTGTTGGTTAATTACGGCCTTTACAATCAGGTCCACCCCACAGCTATTCAACGCGCTCCTATCCTTCCACAAACAATTAAGTTGAGGCCTCCATGGATTAGCCAGGGAGGCAGGCATTGGATATATCCAAAAGTAAGACTGACAAAGTTGTACTTCCCATCTATGGGGAATATGAACAATAAGTACATAAACAGTTAACATAGTGCACATCCTAGAAACGAAAAAAACCAACAGGGTGATACAACCAAGAGTAAATGGGTTTTCCTTGTTGGAAAAAACCAATCCTTTCTCTCAGGCCCCATACTTAGTAACCTGTGTGTAACATCTGGGTGTATTTATCACTTCTTCCCCCTTTATGGTCTTCTGTGCTTTAAGAAATTTTTTCTATTTCCATTTTAATGTTTTTTATTGCATATGTTCCTTCCACTGTAAATAATCTTAAATCTTGGGAGGTAGTTTATAAGTAATAAATGACGAGTCTCTAATATTTGCCTCATACGTACGTAGCATTGGTCCAGGTGAAAATCCAAGCTTACTAAGTTCTTGCTGTAATTCATAGTCACTCAGACACTTCACATCCACCATGGCGTGATAGGAGTTTGGTCTCTTTCAGACAGTGGAATCTATGAAAGAGGAAAACATTAAGTTCTTTAGAGGAGCCTTACAAATAAGAACTAAAAATTTCCCGAAAGTCCACAGAAGTGCTTACAACCCAATCTCTCCAGTTTTGAAGGTACATGGGCAGTAACCCCCCAAATCAGCATTCTCTGCAATAAATCTCTCTTGGGTTTAGGTTGCCTCAGTGCAAGGCTTTGGGTGGGTGTCACTTTCCCCAATGTCTCTGGGGTTGAATTATTTCTAACTTTTCTACTTAACTCATGTGAGAAAAGTCTTCTGCACCAAATGAACACATGAACAAATATTTCTATGACTGCTTAGGAACTCTGAGTAAGACTCAGGCACTGAAAAAATAAGAAGTTAATTAAATATGAAAGAGCTGAGAGAGATTTTCTAGTGAGTTAAATAAAAGTTATTTATCCCTGCCCTCCTTTTGATGAGAGTCCAGAGAGTCCAGAGTGTTCAGTTATTGCAAACACTAGTAGTTTTCACACTTGTAATTTAACTCGGAACATAACGAGATGGTAGTTTTTAATTAACCGCCAGCAGACTTTGTAATTGCTGAATTGGCATTTGAAAAAAAAAAAAAAGTCAGCTATTCATTCTCTGGCACATAAATTGACTTATATAGGCTTACACAAGTCTTGATTGGCTTTCCTGTCCTACACCAGCCTCAAGTTCAATCACATTTATGCACTTGATCTCTTTATCCCCCCAAAAGGACCCCTCCACCTACTTAACAAAATCCTGAAAAAGACACATTTGTTACACCTTTCAACAGAGATTTGTAATGTAGAAGTTTATTTATTGTACCTCACTGCTATTATATTTCCAGGCTTTTTAATATTGCAGTGAAAACAACTGCAAGAAGATCACTCAGCATCAGAGGATCTGGACCAATTTTAAGTCATGACTTTGCCTTTATTGGTGATCAATCAATGTCCAATTAGGAAGAACATTGTATACAAGCTGGAAGAAGCTGTGAGTTGTCATGTATAACAGGGTTGTTGGAGAACGCCTCGCTTTACAGTTCTCCTCCTTAAAGCTACACTTGGACCAGAGTCACATTCTGGCACAGAGTAGGGGCTTAGTAAATGGAAGTTTCCTTCTTCTCTACGTGATGGGGAAGCTGAATTAACATGTTTGGCCCCTAGGAAACGACCTAATATAGAAAGGAAGAGGACAATACACCTCAGATTATTTTTACTGTTATTACCCTTAGAAGCTAGCTTAGGCCCATCCTGCGACATTTCTTCCTGAGAACAGCTGTCTGTTGTTTCAACGCCTTCGCCAAAATAACCTCCAAAAGAACCCTCATCAATTTCAAGTGACACTAGACAACCGCCTAGAGGGAACACACATATGGAAGAAAAGTATTCAAATGGAATCCAACTGGATGATTAATCCACTTACCCCTTTACATGGTTGTCTAAAGGCTATGCAGTTGGGTTGGGTACTAAAGCTGGGGGAGTTTCACCCAAGAGTTTCTAGTAGCAACCAGTCCCTTTTTGCCTGTTAGATATTATGGTAATCACAATACTGACAGTGTGACATCAGTAAACCCCATAGCAACAGACTGATGTGAAAGCCAGATGATTAATTTAACCTACGTTCAGACAGAAGGAGACACTGGTTGACTTTATAGGCAGCCTGCCATGATAAAATGTCAAGAGATGCAGAGAAGTTATCATTATGCACAGGAAGTGGGGGGAAAGTGCTGCTACCCAACCAAACAGTGCCAGGAAACTGGGAAGATAAAGGAAAAATTAAACAAATTCAAGCATCTCGGCCATCCTCAAAAGATCCATAGTAGTAGATGGGTAATTTGGCCACGGGCTCTAGGCAGAGTAAGAAAGGAGAAGACAGCTATATTAACTTGTCAAGGAATTGCTCATTGAAGAATAAGAACATTCTTCAGACTATTAGCTTGAGTCTTTTAAAAAAGACTGCTGAGACTTTAGAAACAATTATGCAAGACGAAATGTAAATATGGGAGAACACACTGCCTTAATTAAGTGCCAGGGATAGGAGGGAGTCACTTGAAAGGGTTAAGGGGACAGTGAGCCAGCCTGCCTGGAGTCAAATTGCAGCTCTGTCTCTTCCCAGCTGGGTGACATCGGGAAGGTAAGTTACTAACCTCGCTGTGTCTCCTTTTGCTCATCTGTAATGGGGATGACAATGGTACCTACCTTACAGGACTGTTACTGGGTCGCAATGAGTTTATAATACACATAAAATGCTTGGCACCTAGTAAGCACGATATAAATGTTTCCCATTATTCTAATTATTCGTGAGCCATATCCTCAAAGTCTCCACATCTAGTTTCTTCCTCAGGAGGCTCCATCCCATTTACACTTGCCCATGGGACTTGACCATTTCAACATTATCAGGATTCTGGGAAAAGATTAAGCATCTTTGTGTGTATCGTCAGGGAGACTCATTGACTGATTCCAGGCTGTAGTTTCGAGGGCTATAGCTCCAGAGTTTCTGAATAGAGCATCAGTTTCCAAACAAACATGTAATGCAAACGTTTGCCAACATCCAAACATTGGATTCACCAAACAAAGACTTGGAAAATTGACACATTTGTTTCAATCAAAGCAAATAAATGATAGGCTTGGGTTATTAGGATGCATAAGCATTTTGTTTACATTTCCCAGAATTGCTTTCAACAAAAAAGCAGCCAGCAGGTGGAACTGCTTGCATTTAAACAGACTATTAGGATGAAACAGGCATTTCTAGAATAATTTCTTAGACCTCTGCGGTTTAAAGGAAGCTAGGTTGACAAAGGATTCAATCAGATGATCTGATTGGGTTGAGCCTTCTATTATGTGCAAACCATTCTGTCTGAAATTATTCTCCCGAAGAGCCCACTGGCCTATCCATGATTCTGTTCTCAGCATTATTCTGTTTAAGAATTCCTATACTCTGCAGGATCCAGAAATACTTGGTTTTGATGTTTGCAGCACCCCTTTTCCTCGGTTTTATCTGTGAAATCCTGGGCATTTGCTTGTTTTTTGTTTATTATTCTCTCCATGGCTGCAAAGATATTTTATTCCATTTCTTGAGGGAAGCAAGTTTTAACTGCCAATCGAGAAGGTATTCAACATGATAAGGTATCTAAACCCTGAGAGCTTCCTCTTTTCATTAAAATGTAGATCCAATTTCTTTTCCCTTAATGCCACATGCTGTTATTAAACTGAAATAACGGAAATAGTAAAAGCCAGATGTCACTTTGGTCTCAGGTTTGACGTGGGGCACAATTTCCTCTCCTCAAGTTTAATCTGCTGTTATTTACCAACCCCATCCTTTGGAAGAATGCACAATTTAAATGTAAATGCAATTTACATAAGGGGAGCAGATAGTAGATTTGCAGTTTCAATTGCCAATAACCGTTTGCAAAGGGGGAAATCAACTAAAGCAAAGATCAGCAGCTGTCAGGCTGAAGTCTGCATCACTTGCCATTATCCTAGACTTTCCTCCTGAAGGCACCTGCCTCTGAGCCTCAGCGAGGCGGGCAAAAGGAAGTGGAGAACTGAGGCATCTTCCCAGATATTTCAAACTTCATTTACTATTGACTAGGGGGAAAAGAGGAAGTTTGGGTTTCAAATGGGCAAATTCAGTTGGCGTCATCACTGGAGTCATTAACTGACTCCATCCCTTTCAACGAATATTTATTGATCATCTCCTATGGGACAGACTTCAGGCTTGGCCTAAATTAGAGAGTGGTAGAGGAGAATACAAAGATACAGTCCTCCTTTTAAGGTGTTCACTGTCTCCTTTAAGAAAAAGAGAACAAATAATGATGGGGAAATCAGGTAAGCTATTAACAGAGGGCTACCAGAGCCCAGATTCGGAAGCCCCTAAGTGTTGAAAGATTCATTTAGGCTGAGACTTCCAGAATGAGCAGTAGTTTGCCCTATAACAAGGGGATTGAGGACAGCCATTCTAGGAGCATAGTGATAGAAGGGAAATGAGGGAAATGAGCTGGGGGACAAGTTGGGGCTAATTTGTGAAGGAGCCTGTGGGCCATGTGGAAGAGTTAACCCTTCACCTTTGGGCACATTTGGAAGTTTGGAAGTGGGACGCCGCAAGATTAAATTTCTGTTTGACACTGGCTGGGGGGTTCTGTGTTCATGCATTTGATACAATTTAGGTTTGGTTCTGAGCAGAGACTGAGTTGGTGGTGCAGAGTCTGGAGGCTACTTGGGGGAGTTGTTACAACAGTCCAGAAAGGAGTTGATTCAGACTTGGACCAGGCCAATGGGAGGGAGGACTGGAGAGGAAGATACATGATTCATGAATGATTTAGGACAGGATGTCTGATTGGATGTTTCCTCCTGACTTCAGTGGCGCGGGCATGAGCTCCCTCTAAATCTTTTGTCTTAGCCATGAGCGCACTTACAGAAGGAACCATATGGAGTGTGGTCTACACGTCACTGACACCGAAATGATCCTGTTCTCGTCTAGTCAGCCCTTGATTATCCACACTACTTGAAGGCAGCAGCAATGCACATAATCCATAACTCTCTTCTATTTGGCTTTGGAATTAATTACATCTTTTAGAGCAAATTTGCCTTCCTAATTAATCTTTCTTAGGTTAATATTAAAATTAACTAATACTCTCTGAGCCTGTAACAGCTGGGCAGGGGAGGGGAGGAGCAGGGGAAGGGGAGGGCAGGGTAGCTGCTCATACTCAGGCTGAGCAGCAGGAGAAAACCACTTCATATTTAAAATTCAGGGTGAGGGCGCCTGGGTGGCTCAGTCGGTTAAGCGACTGCCTTCGGCTCAGGTCATGATCCTGGAGTCCCGGGATCAAGTCCCGCATCGGGCTCCCTGCTCAGCGGGGGTCTGCTTCTCCCTCTTCCCTCTCGTGCTCTCTGTCTCTCATTCTCTGTCTCTCAAATAAATAAATAAAATCTTTAAAAAAAAAATAAAAAATAAAAAATAAAATAAAATAAAATTCA